CAGTGACTCTCCTGTACAGAATGTACTACTGTCCAGTTTTCTCCTCCTCCTCCACTTGGCTCCCCTGGAGAAAATAACCTTCACCTAACTCCCTTAGTTCTTCAGGAAGCAGATTCATTTGCATCCAAATTACAATCATGGAGATAACATATGAGGAGTTTTGATTGTTTTTGTATTTTTCCCCTGTTTTGATAGCCAATGTTATTAAGATGCTTTGTTAAAAATCTTGACCAACTCTTTTTTTAAATTTTTAATCTTTTTTATTTTTATTTTTAATTTAATTTAAATTAGAAACATTGACCAACTCTTGTTGGGTTGTAGAGTTCTATGACTCTCAGAATTAAGAACGGAAAAAAAAATAAAAGGAAAGAAAAGGCCTTTAGCCCTTTAGAAATCCAGGTGCCATAGATGGATAACAAACAGGAATCATAGAGTTTAGCAACTTGTAAGTAGTTAATCTGTGTGACATTGTGTAATAAATGTAATTTGGATTCAATTCTATTAATAGGCGGAACAATTTGTTATGTTGTGCTGATGACATTAAAGGAGGAAATTAATTTTTAAATTCCTGGATCAAATTTCAATACATTTATACAAAACTGAAACCTGGTTTTCTGTTTAAAACAAAGAGGATCTCTTTCCATATTGATCGGCTTTTCATAACAGTCACAAAAACTGGCTTAGAAAACAAAGATTCTGTGTTTTACTAAGATAATTGTGTTTTGGACTCTTTGTTACACTTTTGACTACTCAAAACATTGAGTCTTAAGAAAATCAGGATTTATTTGAAAAATCTATTTGTTCTTGCCTAAGCTTTGTTTAAATATTATACAGAAGTTAAAACTAAAATCAATTATTTCTTCCTCAAGACTGATAAAAGTGTCCCTCTGGGTGTTGAGCAATGACAACTTACAGGCTTGAGCCAGCAAGACAGAAGAGACAAGACGCTGAAGTAGTAACATCCACTGTAGGTCAGCCAAGATTCAGGAGAGAGCAGGGCTCCTTTCAAAGAGCCTGGCAGCTACAGCTTCCCACAGCCCCTGGCCCTAGATTAGTTTATTTATGTGTGTAGGTGTTTTGTCTGCACGTAAGTCTGTGTGTGGTGTGTGTGCTTGATGCCCAAGGAACCCACAAGAGGGCATTAGATCCCCCGGAACTGGAGCTATGGATGGCTGTGAACCACCATGTGGGTGCTGGGAACTGAATGTAGGTCCCGAAGGAACAACAAGTGCTCTTTGCTGCCGAGCCCCTTCACCTGTCCTCTTGATTGGCGAGGCCACAGAGACCTCAAAGTTTGGGTTTGAACTAGCGCACATCCTGCGAAGAGGAGAGTCATTAGAGAAAGTGACTTCCATGATTCAAGGAAGCAGCCTTGTCCCCGACCTATACCAGTGGGTGACGTGACTTATAAAAATCAAAATAAAGGAAACAAGAGCCTCCTCTCTCATCTCTATGAGTAGTTCCTAGGGAGGAGCTGCAACTGAGCTGAACAGAAAAATGACTGACCATTGGTCACCTATGTGGTCTTAGACGCCCAGCAGGAAAGTATAACTCATGACAAAATAATTAGTAATACCATAAAACAAAATTCTACCCTCCATCCTAACCTGGCTCAGCAGGAGGACCCGGCACTCTGAAAGACTCCAGATGACAGTCATTCAGTTAAATGGTAGCCAATTTAAGAGGAAACTATCCCAGGTCTTAGTAAATACTCAGTAACTGCCAACCTCTTAGAAGTTACTGTCTTGGCTCACCTGTCCAAACAGAGCTCTGTTTTCTGAAGTGCTCAAGCTGAATCCCAGCCATGAGTTAACTGAGCACTTGACCTCTTCAGTATCAGAGAAGTAAAGCTATGGACCATGATATGTAATAGCTCTTGATGTTGTGGGAATTCATTCAGCCAATAGCTTTTGAGGTACCAGACCTTAGGGTGTGGCCTGAGGAGTTATGTGTGGACTGCTAAGTGGAGAGAAGTGTGATCACTCTCTTGAGTGGTTGGAGCAGAAGCGAGCTTGTGAAGTTGTACATCTTCCTGGGGCAGAGCGATGGGACACAGCGATGGGACACAGCGATGGGACACAGCGATGGGACACAGCGATGGGACACGGTGGCTTCTGCCTTGTCCTGTATTCTGTGAATCTACATTTCCATTAGAATCCTCATAACAAAGACAATGTGTAACTCTCAGTTTATCTGGTTCTTCTGCATGCTGTGAATATGTGTTGCTTTTATTGGCTGATGAATAAGGATGTCTTGACCAACAGACAGGAAAAATATAGCTAGGAGGGTGAAAAGGAAACAGTGCAACAGGAAAAAACGGGTCTAGGGTACTTTATTAAATACAGAAATCACTTACAGGGGAAGCTGGGAAGCTCTCTGCTCTCTGAAGCACAGCCAGCATCCAAGAGAGAGATGGCGTGGCCAGTATCTCCGTATGTGAGCTCCCCCCCCACAGGAGGGCAATCCAAACAAAGACACAGAGAAAAAGAAGGCAGGGTCAAGGAGAGGCCATGTAGCCTCTGGGGAAGCAACCTGTAAGCTACAATCATATGGTGAAACATAGATTAGTAGAGGTGGGTTAATATTTTAAGAGAGAGCTAGCCAGCAAGAAGCCTAAGCCATTGGTCAAACAATTATAAGTATATATTAAGCCTCTGAGTGGTTATCTTATAAGTGGCTGCAGGGACCCAAACGAGATGGAGAAGAGTCTTCCTTCCACATCCTGATTTAAAAATTATTCTGTTGAAACATTCCTTCATATAATATCATTATGTACATATATGCCTGCGCCCCATAGGCAAACACTTAACTGCCATAAAAAATCTTTTCAAAATATTCAATTCTTCAGTCAGAACTAATTTGTTTGGCTCTTAGTAAATACAAACCTGGCTCTGTTTTAACAGCTTCCCTATTAGTACAAAAAAATTCTCATCATAGGGTCTGTCCTAGTCACTCTCAAGCATGGCCTATACCTGCGTCTTTCTTTACTCTTTAAAACATGACTCGACTCCTCCGAGAATCTCTGGGAATAAAACTAGTACACACTACTTGACCATACCCAAATCAGTCTCGTCTTGACTTCCTCCTGCCTCTCAGGAACTTCTAGGGAACCCACTACCACCACCACTGCAGGGTGGATTCTTACCTCCTGCTACTATCTGAGGTCTAGAACTTTTGTTTTCTCTTAGGTTTGCTGCTATGTTCTTCTTATCAGCAGTCATTTATGCAGGCATGGTTGTAGTTGGCTCCTCTTTTCCTTCTACTGAAATTCACTTTTTTTTTTTGAGACAGAGCTTTTTTTGTGTGTAACAGCCCTGACTGTTCTGGAGCTCACTCTGTAGACCAGGCTGGCCTCAAACTCAGAGAGATCTGCATACCTGTGCCTCCCGAATGTTGGGATTAAAGGCATGTGCCACCATTGCCTGACCTATTGAAATCTCTTATGTTGTTCTGTGCATGTTTTCAGGCCCTGTCTCCTTCAAAGGCTAATCATAGTAATTTTTTCCAGTATCCAATAGACCTATTGGCTGGGACAACCTCTAAGCCAGCCAGTGAGTTCTAGATGGTGTTATGTTAGAGCTATTACTATCAACAGTGATGCTTGTCTCTCACCACTAAGGACCTCTCATTTTCAAATAGAGTTAGAATCTGGCCTTCCACACCTTATGATGACCACTCCCTCCCCTCTCCAAAATGCACTTCAAAGCTTTTATGCCTTATGTCCTATAACTCTCTATGATGGGTCAACACTGCCAACTAGGGTCCCTGATGCCCCCTCTCAGCTCTGAAGTATCTCCAGAAGATGTTTGCACCTTGTCAGTGTTTTGACTTGTTGATCTGATGTGTGTTTGTGTGTGTGTGTGTGTGTGTATGTGTGTGTGTGTGTGTGTATCTGAATGTAGACACAAAATGCCATACTTTAGTAACCAGGCCATGACTATTTGAGGCCTGGCCACTTATACCATCTTCTGCAAGCACTTAGAGTCCAGGTCCCACTGACCCATGGTGTCCTATCCAATGTCCAGGCACAAGAAAACAACTTATGCTGTAAAATTTATTACTCAACTAAAGAGTGAGATACTCACTTATCTATCCAGATGTGGACCCCACACAAATAACCCAAGTAATATCCCTTGCATGGCACAAAGAGAACTCTCACTTTCTCTTGGTTGTAGTGTCTCCTACCTGGGAACGTTCCTGCTGCTTTCTTGTAGTGCTATCTAACAAGTTTTTGCTCTTTTTCTCCTCATGTCTTGGGTCATTTCTTTTTTTTTTTTTTTTTTTTTTTTTTTTGGGCAGACATCATGGAAGTTTTATTTAGATGTGTATTTTGAACTATCAATACAGATGCCAAATTTAACTACACAAAACATCCACAGGAACTTTTTCCATTTTTTGAATCGTTCACAAACATTTCCTACATAATTCAACACAAAACAGAGAAATGGTACATCTTTTTTCTTTCATTGTGCATACAATGGAAAAAACAAGTATATATATATTTTTACAAAGTTCAACTAACAAGACACTAGCAGGTTGACAGTTTGTCTATAAGTGAGAAATTATCTAACAAAAATATCCAGGATTTACTCAGCATCAGCCACTTCCATAACCAAGTGTTATTCTGATTAATAATAAGCTCATTGCCCATCAGGATTCTGGCATATGGTTGGTTATCTCTTCTAATATTGCTCCCCACCTTAGTTCTCCACAACAAACATAGAAAACTATTAGAAAGTAGTGGCAAACATTTGCAAAAACAAACAAAATCCCAAGCTTATTATAAGCATGAATGTGATGGAAATTTATCAAGCCCCATCTTTCCAACCATAAAGAAACCACCCTAACTGAAATTGTCAATGTGTTTTGCCTATGTCCAAGAGGTGTACTCATATCCAACAGAGGAGCTGAAAATCAAACTTAGTGTTTAGTTTAGGGGTGGGCTGGAAAATTCAACCACCATTTGAAAATTGCCTTAAAAAAAAAAAGACCACCAAAAATAGATTCACTAAATTTATTTTAAAAATCATAAAACGTTTCTTACAAAAGAGCGTTACATTCTGCACACTGCTCTGAACAAATGCCAGGGACATGTGGACTATTACTTTCCTCCCTGTCCCACCCCCCAATGTTACAGTGACCACAAAGCAAGGTGTTCACAATAATTACACGGGGGGAATTTTTTTTTAAAACCACCAACAATGAACAAAAAATAAAATCCACTCACTCTGCTGCTGTTTCAAAATTTCAATGTTTGTTAGTTTTTGCATGCCCTCCCCCCAACCCTGTTTGTAAGGAACTAAAACATTACATCTGGTGAACAGCAAAGATTTCACTACACCTCAAATGCAGAACACCTATGAAGCAGAGGAATGTTGGCTTTTTAAACAGAAGCAGATAAAAAAAAAAGATGCAGGACTCCTTCAGTTCTTCACTAGTCTTAGAAAAACTTTCCAGAATACTGCTTCACACTGTTCTGCAGCAAATACTGTGCATTCTGTATCTGGTCCTGTGTTCCTGTAATTGTGATGATCCGATCTTCGGACCCTTCTAAGGGCTCATCAATTTTGATTGATGCTCCCGACTCATGACGGATTTGTTTGATCCGCTGACCACCTTTGCCAATAATAGATCCAGCCAAATCTTTGGGAATAGTTACTTGTGTAGTAATAATAGGTCCACCAAGATCACCATATGAGCCACGACCCCCTGCATAGGAATAATCATATCCAGAACCACCCTGTGGTTCATAAGCCATCTGCCATTCTGATGGACTCCATGTGTCAATAGCAGAGTCCCAAGTTTCATCAGCACTGAACCCAACCATGCCATCATAGCGGTCCCCAGGCCTTCCTCTTCGGTCATAAGCCATTAGATCTCCCCCTCTGGGTGGTGGTGGTGGTGGAAGAGGAAGATTCCGGGCTCTGCTGCCACCCCGGCCACCTCGACCAGGAGGTGGTGGTGGAGGTCCTCGACGGGGGCTCATATCATCATAATCTCTTCTAGCAGGAGGCATGGGACGCCCAGCTCGACCAGGAGGCATTCTGTCAAAACCACCTCTTCCTCGCATGGGAAATCCCACAGGACGTCCACGGCGATCATCAAACATCATTGTAAAACCACCATAATCATAGGTTTCATCATAAAAGTTGGGATCATAAGGTTGTGCACGTCCTTTGATGGGAGACTCGGAAATAAGGTCAAGGATGATCTTGATGCACTCTACAACCCTGTCAGGCTTTCCTCCAATAAGAACGACTCTGTCAGTGGAGTGAGGGCAGCACTCCTGGAAAAGCTTGATTGTTGTCTGAGTGTTTTCTCGAAGCTCTTTAATTTTAGCACCTTTGACACCAATAATTCCTCCTGCCAGACTTTGATGAATCAACAGTCTCAACTCGCAGTCAAAGTCACTTCCTTTATAGTGTTGGTAATTTAAGCATTCCACAGCATCAGATTCGAGCGGGAGCTGGCTGGTTGCAGTGGGTGATGGCAACTGCAGGCCCTCTTCCAATGTAGGGATGATTTTCTTCAGAATCTCCCCAATCGTTTCAATGTCAGCACTGATGCTCAGTATGCGCTCGGGGCCACTGCTGTCTGGGACTGAAACACTGGCATTGTAGTCTGTACGGAGAGCCTTAATATTCTTGCCTCCTTTTCCAATCACTGCCCCAGCATTCTTGCTCTGAAGCAGAATGCGCAGCTCAACCATCTCATCTGTGTTTCTAGATCTTTTAAAGGCTTGCTCCTCTTCCATATCTTCTGCAGGGCGTTTGCCAAATTCACCATTGGTTTCGGTGTTGGGGAAGGTTTCTTCTGGCTGCTCGGTCTCCATTTTCTTGAATTAAATGGATACACCAATCGCGCTCCCCGCCGTTGCCTTCCCGGCCGCCGCGCCGCCTCCGACGGTCGGTCAACTGCCGGGTCATTTCTTTTCAGCATTCATATTACCAACCTTCCATGTGGCCTGAGAAGACAAACATTCCGGGGACACTGCAGGAAGTGTTCATTTGTAGGCTCTGTGGCTTCGGAAAAACCAGTTACATCCCACTATGACATGTGGATGCCAGGGAAGTTTCTTGGCTTCTCTGTCCATTCCCTCAACTGTAAAATGGTCATTGGACCTCCACAGAGGGATCCTGTGAGGTTTAAGTAAACAAGGCTGACATAAGAAAAGCTCTGTAGATGCCACCTGTGATGGTCCCGTTTGATAGGAGAGGAACGGGAGCCCCAGGGAAGTATCTTACATGGCTGAAATGACCAGAGTGACAAGTGAGACATAAGTTAAGAACACAGGGATGATTCCCAGATCCTGTTCTTTCCAGTTAACTGACAGACTAGAATCTGAGGTTTCTCTGAGGAGTGATATCTGAGTGGAAGCCTGGAGGGGTGTGCTTCCACATACAGGCAGTGCTATGCGCCATTGTAATTGGGTGATTTACAGAAACAGGAGCAGGAAAACTCATGGGTAGCACCGTCACTGAAGAGAGCAAAGCTCTCCTCTTCAGCTCCTGTTAACTGCCTGTACCTCTTTGGGGAGGAGTGAGGCCTGGGGATGCCCCTGCCATGGTAACTACATAAACTCTCATGGATTCCTTCCTCCTCCATGGAAAGTGGTTTCACAACATGGACATGATTTACAATTTCTCTTCCAGCTAAGCCGGACACAGGATGGTCAGTGTTGTTCTTAATCATAGGTTCGGCCCATGAAGGATTGCAATGCCCCATCAGAGATGAATAACTGTGAGCACTGATTGAGAGATACTCCTCTTTGGCTTCATCTAGAATCCCTTCACAACATGGTAAGGAACATATTCACAGCTGTCCTAATACTCAACTACGGGGCACTTTTTCACACTGTTTTTGTCCTTGGGCTACGGAGTAGCTCTGTAGGCCTCAGGGGCCCGGCAAGAAGGGTATTTCCAGAAGTGCCATCGTGGCATTGAAGATAGGGGAAAGACTCAGCAAACCTCTAGCCCTGAAAGTCTAGCTTTTGCAGGGTCACCAGGCATCAGTCTAGAAGGGATGTGGGACTGGGGCTATACAGCCTGTGACTCAGTTTCCCTACAGTACATGAGGTCCTACTCATTTCTGCTAAGATTAAATGAGGAGTATATGTGGTAACTCTACATGCCCCTCTGGAGCACACAGGGTGAATGCTTCAGGGAGAAAAAGCCAGTGAGCTCCTTTTGGGAGAGCCCCGCTCACCAACTCTATGACCTACCTTGGTAGGCAGGAGGACTGGTTGTCAGGCACAGCCTTTTGAAGGGGGTTGTCTTTCCCAACTGAACATGACACAGCCTCAGGGCGAGTTGTTCTGCTTCCACTTAGCTTGATTTATTATTGATTAGGCTGGAGATAAATTAGAGTCATTAAAGTAAGAGGCTGCAATCTGTAGGCTGCTTGTATTCTTGAGATAACTGCATTTGCTGGGACCAGCGCAATCAGTGTGTATGTATGGGGCCAGGAGGTGGTGGGGGAGTTGAAGAGAGCAGGACCTTGCTCCTGGTCTGCACTCTGAAACACAGCGTGGAGGAGCCATGGGTGGCCTGAGCAATGAAAATGTGTTTTCTCCCAGTTTTCAGAGGATGGGAATGTAGCACTAAATGTTAGCTGTTCATCTTCTGATGCCTGCTCTCATCCTAGCTCAAAGATGGCCATCTGGGCTGCAAGTAGCCTTTTCTTCTAGTACCCAGAGAGAGGGAGGGACGAAGGGAGGAAGAAGAGAGAGAGGGAGAGAGGGAGGGAGAGAGGGAGTACTCATGGATGCCTTTTCTTATAAGGACACTAATCTTATTGGCTCAAGGCCTCACCATCACTTAACTTCACCACTTCTTAAAGGTCCTGTCTCCAGATGAAGCCTTATTGGGAATCAAACTATCAATGCATAGACTTGGGGGCTGCAGGGACTGATGGGCAATAACAATTACCACTAGTCAGGTTCTCATGTCTGGACAAAATGAATATTAATGTCTTCCTTTTATAGAGGAGAAAATTGAAGTATACAACTTTTGTTAAGAGAAGCTTTCCTTTTGCTAGCCGGTTTGGTTTATCCCCCGCCAGTCGCCTGGGCTCTGCAGCGCCAGCCTGGTTCTAGATCCGCATGAGTCCCAAATAAACACACAGGAGGCTATATTCATTATGAAGCTGTTGGCCTTGTTTGTCTCTTACTGGCTAGCTCTGCCTTAAGTAATTACCCCATAATTGTTAATCTAAGTATGTCTCTTACCGGAGAATAGTTCCAGGCTTCCTACCCCCAATGGCGTTACATGTTGACTCTCTTGTGTTTCCCCTTCCCAGAATCCTCCTCGACTCCTAGTCCCTCCTATCTAGGTTTTCTATTGGCCAGACAGTACTTTATTGACAAATGCACAGGCAAATAACAGGACTTCCCCAACATACAACAAGAAAGGTACTGCACACAGCCTCCATTTGGTGGGAGCTGGGGTGCCTTGTGAACTTTGCCCACATGTAGGGTACCGGCACACATCTCTAGTTGGTGAGGGCTGGGGTACACTGTGAACCTTGCACACATGTCCCTTTCTAGTGCTTGCTGTACTGTGGCAAGCCTTTTCACAGAGTGGCATGGGGTGGCGGTGATTAATATTGCCTCTGTTATTTCCAAATTGTGAGAGGCTCAGTGAGTGATTTGCTTTACATGCATATGGTTAGGTCATTTGGAAGGGACAACAACATTTTTTCTCTCTCTTTTATTTTGAAGTTATGTATTTTTTCTTTTTCCCAGTGAAGCTTCTCCTCCTTTCTTTTCTCCAAGTCCCTCCCTACCAGCTCTCCCCTCCCCTAGGTCCACTCTTCCCCCTTTCACTTCAGAAAACAGCACACCTCTCAATAATATCAACCAAACATGGCATATCAAGTTTTAAGAAGACTAAGCACATCTCCTCATATTAAGGTTGGACAATGCAACCCAGTAGGAGGAAAAGTGTCCCAAAATCAGACTGTTTCCTGTTCCCACTGTTAGTAGTTCCACAAAAACACTGAGGTGCACGACTATAGCACATAGGCAGAGGATGCAGGTCAGAACTTACAGGCTCCTTGATTGTCAATTCAGTCTCTGTGACCCCCTATGAACCCTGCTTAGTTGAACCTGTGGGCCATTTTCTTGTGGTGTCCTTGACCCCTCTGACACCTATAATTCTTCCTCACCCTCTTCCACAGGATTCCTGAAGCTCTGCCTCACATTTGTCTGTGGGTCTGTATCTGCTCCCATCAGTTGTTGGATGAAGCCTCTCTGATTATGATTATGTGAGACTTCTGTGTTTGAATATAGCAGACTATCATTAGGAATTATTTCATTGACTTTTTCCCCAGTTTATTTGGTTCTATAGTCCTAGGTCTCAGGACTATCCAGTCTCTGATTTCTGGCCTCCAGGCAGTGTCAAGCATGGACTCACCCCGGCATGAGTCTCAAGTTAGACCAGTCATTGTTGGTCACTCCCACAAGTTCTGGCCACTTTACCCCAGCACATCTTGCAGGCAGGACAATTTGTAGATTGTGGCATTTGTGGCTTGCTGGGTGTATCAGTCCTTCCACTGGAGGCCTTTCCTGATTACAGACCATGGACAGTTCAGGTTCTGCATCCCCCATTACTAAGAGTCTTTGCTAGGGTCAACCTTGTGGATTCCTGAGAGTTTCCAGTTCGTAGGTTTCTATCTCACCTCTAGAGTGCCCCTTATTTCCAGTTGTCACTCCCAGGGATGTACTCACCCATTTCTGAACTGTGTCTCCATCAGAAGAGAAAGGGCCTGGAATAATGCCTGCTACCTGGTAAGCAGGTGCTCTGAGAACATCAGCTTTACTATGGTACAGGGCCCTATATGAGCAGGCTGTATGCCTTGATGCTGATTCTTCTCTGTCCCTTCTCTTCCTTGCTGTGTTGTAGCTACACTTTCCTCCTTGCTTGGTTTTGGACATGCCAAGAATGCCTTTCCTCAGGACCTTTGTGTTGCTGTGGGAATACCCTTCCTACAGACAGCTCTGAGTCTCTGCGATAGTTACTGTATTGAGGAGGTTGTCCCTGTCGATTTGATCTCCTTTCCTTTATCACTTTTTATTATTTACCACAACTCAGTAAGTGTATGTGCTTATTTGTTGTTGTCTCCATACTCTTGGTTATTTATGGATGACGCATAGCGTCTTAACGCAACATTGATTATATTGCTGTCTTTCATGGTTTATGTGTGGTAGGATTTTGAAGAGGCTCTGCTAAGTGGTTCTTCCATAGGGACATCTTCATGGCTAATTCAGAGCAAATGGAGAGACTGGTGGCCTGCTCAAGGATGGTGACAGTAGCAGGAACAAGGAATACAGATTTAGGATGAATGAAATGACATGGCCATGGGCAGAACTGAGATATAAAAGAAGAATTATAAAAAGGAGAAAAAAGAATCAAGGCTCTCAAAGGTTATTGGCAAAGCCTTCCATGTCCACCTTCTCTGTAGGCACAGGGCTTTTTCATGTAACCACCTTGTGTTCCCTCATCTTGTGGAGACTTCAGGTGGCCTGACTTCTACCTGGTATTTCCAGCTTGCATGGCTCTTGTGGCTTAGCTGAAGCTGGAAGTATAACAGTTAAGAATATGCTTAGAGTCTAGACCTGAATGGTGCTTTTATCTCCATAGTTACTCACAGTCTGATCCATCCATTGCACTCATTGCAAAGCACTGAAAAGACATAATATAAATTAAGTACAAGGAAACAGATTTAATTTAGAAGACAAAATGCAACACTGCCTGCATAGTCATGGTCAACAGGGACTTAGAGTTCTTGCTTGCTTCATCTCTGCCTTTTTTAGAGCTGGACTCAAAGTTTAGTATAATGTAGGCTACAGCCCCAGATCTCTAGGGACTAGGGATAAAGCTGAGAGCTCCTTTCAACAGCATTACTGCCATAGA